TGGACAATTAATTAGACAGATCGCACTAAACACTGCCGCAAACCCGCTTCGACAACCACGCCTACTTTTCAGCGCGGCTGTGATTTTTTAAAATGACGTTTCTGGGTGGCGATAGTAGACAACCTTATAACCAATAGTCTTCATGAAATTCGATGGTTCAATCGACAAGCTGGTGCAAGGTGACTGCACTGATGTGATATGGCCCTACAACAACTGAGTTTTTATCTTCTCACATAAGTTGAGGAGTGGTGAAGTTCGCTCAACGTGGTGCTACTAGGAACTGCCCGGTCCTACGGGCTGAGCTCCGCGGACGTTCAAGCGCAGGTGGCAGGCCTTCGTGACGGGCTGGCCTGTAAACACCCATGTCACATCACGCATGTTTGGAAGCGCGGACCCCCTTCCACAGTGAGACCAACGCTGAAGAATAATAAGAAGAAGAAGACATGAACCTGGTAGGATCTTATCAGCCTCGATCGTGTGACCTGTACAGTTCTCCCGAACGGAAGACGAACTGGGATCTGACCCTCCACCACATGCAGAGAGAGGTGTACCAATTCCCACCCCTGCCTCCTCACCGATATAGTAGTGATCAGGAATGATCTAGAAGGAATACTGTTTCAAAAGGTGCTGTGAAGAAGTTCTCGCTAACCAGTGGAAATAGCAGCGCCCGACGTTAGCTGGGTTCATCACATGAAGAAAGAGAGCTCGGTGGCAGAGCACGTCAACCTAATCTATGGCACATGTTGCAGATGTCCTAACGCTGAGACTTTCTCAAGGCTTGGTAGTAAATTGTTACAGTAGAAAAATGCTGCCAAGTAGTGTTTATTTTAGGATAGATTATTCTGCCAACTCACTTTTCACTCTCACTAACAATCAAAGGTAAAGTTCACAGTAGATATAGGGATTGCGCCGCACCTCGATAGAAAAAGGGAGGCAAATTCCGCAAGAGTGCTGAGTTGAAAGGTGAAAGACTTGACCCCACGCGGACTCGGAACCGTCTCACGCTCACGTACATGGTCAGCCGTGATGGATAGATGTAGGCAGGAAACCGCGATGCAGAAATCTTTACAAATTCTCCAGGAGAGTGCGTTGAGGCTATGATATAAAAGTCGTCAAGCTGAAAAATAGCAGCGGTGTTGGTAGAGTGACGAATAGTGACCGCACTCGCCCCGAGAGCGCGAGGTACGTATTCGAGTCGTGCCAAAGATCAAGACTTCTGCCACCAGCTCAGTATTCTTCTGATACCTTCCCGACTGTGGCGTCGGCGTTAAACAGAAGTTATTTATAACAGAGCAACAGACAGATTTCTTCGCGTTGATGATGTTAATGGGCTATACTAGAGTCGTAATTAAATCGAAAGATTCTTGGCGTGTTTCAGGTAGCGACCTAGAATTTACTTTAACTCGGTTTGGCAAGGAATTCCCTTCTAAACATGAAATACGTATGTCCAGGAAAGTCACTGTATCCACGTAGCACTGCATACAAAGTAGACACACATGCCCCAGCAATCTCCAAATAGCTCGCTTTCCTCCAGTACTGCATGTGATGTCAAAATATTAAGCGTACAACCGTAAACCCATATTATCATTGCCTCATGCTAGTCTCGTTTATGAAGATACATAAGTAAGGTATCCGAATCTCAAGGACTTCTATGATGACACATTGGAATCTCATCGGAAGCCGTACCAAGTGAACATCATGAAATATAAAACATAAAAGTCTTGTCACTTCTATACTATTTCACGGGTTGCTGGGAAAGTGCGGGCATCCGCCATTGACTTATTTGCTGCCGGTCCATGTCGCATGCAAAAGGGGATCTTAATGAACAATAACACCTCAACGGCATGATCAGTCCAGCGATTAGACCCGAGGTGGTGTACATCGCTAGTCGTTTTCCCAGTCCTTCCCAAAACTCCATCTGCATCCTGCCACCTCCATAAATATTACGGACCTATCTCCACGACAACCGAATCCATACTATTTCAGTTAAAGAGCTGCAGCCTTTCAGAAAAGCTGGCGTCCATTAGCTAATAGCTCGGCCTCAAACACTTATAAGCGAGACACTGGCCCTTCCGACTATTCCCATCCTTCGAACTAATTGACATGCGATAAAATGATCACCACTATCCGAGCAACCTCTCAGAACGGCAACACCGAGCCCGTGTCCCTTCCGCGGCAATAGCGCGAGCCTCTGCATTGTAAAACGATGGCATCCATCAAAGAATAAAAGGATGCTCCTGCCGTTTATCCCTTCCTGGACACGGTATGCATTCTACTTTCACTCGGAATCTTAGAGGCACCAAGTGCGTGCCTGCACAACGACCCTCCGTGGGACAGCTATACAAGTCACTTTATTCCTTACAGAAATATAATTCACAATCACCTTCGCGTTGTCCACCTGGGATCAATCTACGGTTCGATTACTCTGAATGCGCTCGTGGCCCTTTCCGCTACCACAACCTCCATCAATGACCGATGCCGTCCATAAAGGGATGGTAACCTGACAACGACCCTACGTAAGACATGTAGATCAGGGATTCCATGCTTCTGCAACGTAAGAAAAAGTAGGCAGCGCTAAATATGCAGACTAATCCGCCAAATGTAAGCAGCAACAGCACCAATACGCGAGCATTCAAGGCAGAAGAATCAGGCAAACCTCATCTATTGATGGTTCAACACGCCCAAAAGACCACCAAGTGGGACACATATTTACTGGCCATTTCTCTGCCCCCTTAACAGTGATACCTAAAATTAAACAGACCTGCAGTGATTTCTAGAATTAAAGCTCTTGGTTATCTTCCTCACCTTTTGCTTACCATTCAATCCAATCGAAGCTGTCTCATTAGTCAGGTTCATGCAGCCAAGCACCTCGATGCCAGAATCGTCGACACATACTGCTGGTGCAGCGGTGCCGACATGTACCGGTTCCCACTTCTTTGCCTCTTCTGCTCTCGCGTCTGCCAGAGTCATCCATTTGTACTCGAGACCCATCTGGAATTATACTGTGGATGGGCGTTGTCTGCCATACACAGCTGTGCTAGTAGAGGCATTGTGAAAAATACAGCCCTCCTTGTCCTTGCTCAAATGCTAGAAGCTGGCGAGTTACATGTAAGCACGCCGCAGAGGCAAAAGTAGTGTACATGAAAGTGAACAGGAGGAATCTAGTGGAGAGATAAAATCCGGTCGAAAAAAGCCAGTATTATGAGGATCGCGTCGTGAAAGGAAGCGGCGGATGTGCTTGAGAACGAGTTGCCCTCACACTCACATAGTATGGTGGAGACTCCTCCCAATACCTAATAGAGAAGCCCCAGCCTTCCACTGTCGATACCTTCCGACTGGCTTTTCACATTAGTGATACAAATCTGTGGTGAAAAACCCATTCACTTGAGAGAGTGGAAGATGGCTTTGGCGGTATGATAGTTGGCACACTGCGCAGTAGGCGAGAGGGGGGATTCGGGCTCTGCCGGGGTATTTTTTGCCCACAACCCAGAATTCATGCAGTACCCTTCGAAAGCGGCTAAGCGGCCGATATCATAGTAAAGCTGGCCAGTAAGCTATACAAGTTCACACTGAATCACACCGTTCACATCGTTACTGCGATGTGAGATTTCGGACTGTGGAATTTGCCTCAACGGCACTGAAGAAGGGTGTGCTATAGGGGTGGTCTACAAAATTTCCTCTTCGGAGAGAAAATTCGGAAACTGCCAGACCGCGGTGGTTGGAGCACTGGATCGCGAGTTTTGCTGGAAGATGGGGACGATTGTACTGCTTACCCACAACCTGAGCCTCGTTCATAGTGCAGGTGAATTGCCTCACTCCGTGCTCCCTTCAGGCTTCAATTGATGTTCCGTCTAGGTCAGCTGCCTCCCCAATCTTCACCTCATTTCACCTTATGAACCTTATCCTCCGTCCAGGTTTCGATGAAGCCATCCGTCGCCCCTAATCGTGAGTAGCAGTGTGGGAGGTGATTCTATCTGTGATCGTTCAGAAGTCTATTGAACCATACTTTTCCCTTTCTCTTGACTTCAGTTGGCGTCTTTAGAATGACATTGTCGCAGTCTCCACAGCTGCCAAGATCAGCTCCTGAATCCTGTCTTGCAAGGCCCGATGTCGAGTTTTTACTAGCTGGTCAATTTATCTCCCTCTCGGCTGTCCGACCAAGGCATCCATTTCGGCGTTCTCCGATTTGGCCGTAGTTGACTTGGCAAGTCGATTTTTGTGGATTACAAGATCCTCTGACTTCTTTGTCTTCTGAAATGACCTGTACGCTTCTTTCTTTCGCCATGCTGTGCCTCTTCATTAAAGAGTCATTTTCTGGACCTCCTCACTCCAGAACCAATTGCCCCATTTTTTCTGGCGTTGCAGCTTCCATCATCGATTTCTTCCCTTGCCTCTCACCGTCCTATTCCCAATCAGTGCGAGACGTAGGCAACAGAGGTTTTAACAGTCTCACGACACTTTTCAGGCAGTTTCTTCATCATGGCGTAGCCAAGCTTCATCG